CAATGAAAGTTGGGAAAGATAACAGATTTATATCCGGGTAAAGATGGAATCGCTCGAGTACCTCAGGTCCGTACCTCCGCGGGCTTGTTGAAGCGCCCATTAGTAAAGTTGTGCTCATTACCTGCACAGCAGCCTCTAGCACATTCCTTTGTTCATAGTTTCAATTAGGTGATTCAATTCCTTCCCTCAGTTATAGTTCATGAGTTTGTGTTGATTTGTATGGGTTATAAATATACAGAATATAAAATATAATTCATTTTATTCTGGTGGGAGGACTCACTATAGATCGCCGTTCGTTGTTGGTTCGAATTCGGCCATCGGAAGATCATTTTGAAAAACAATGAATGGTGCACGGATTGAGTTTTCATGTCCTGTCAGCATATTTTGCCACCACTAATGTTTTACAAAATCCATCATGAGCCTGTAGAGGTCCCGCACTCAACAACGCACAAGTTCAGACTTGGGATTTCAACTTTGAAGAAGTGATGCATAAATAATTCAATTCAACAAACCTTTAAAATTCAAGTCGTGTACCGTCAGTTCCCGCTTTTCCATCAATTTATTCGTGGTTATGTCTGACTGTCAGTGCATGTCATAGTTTCCGTACTCTAAATATACAAAAACGTCAAAACAGCATCGTAATTGGCAAGGTGACAATTCCGATACGGCACCTGGTGGGCAAATTTGAACCAGTTTAGGACGTAATTCAAGGTCATGTTTCTTATTGTGTTCAGTGGGTTTCATATTTTATGAATACCATTCAACAAATTACGTTAATTTTCTCTTCTTGCGTCTCTTGAGTACAAGACATGAACTTTATATCAATTGCCTAATCAATTCTATATTATTTTATAAATTAGTATCAACAAATCTCTGATAATACGCGAAATCAACTGTGTTTGGTTGCTGGTTGAACTAGTAGAAGGTTCCAATGGATAAATGTAGGACCTATATGTCCTCTAATATGAATTTCCTGCACTCAAGAACAAGAAGTCTTTTCTGATAATGAAAAATCAGTTCAGTTGAATGGAAAAAATGGATAATTGTTGAGAATCCAATATGAATTTGAGAACCGGATGTATGCAGCTCCAGCAAAAACTTCCCACCTTTTTTCAATTCATTCCAATAATGATAACAATAAGGTAAATTTGTGATTCATTGTTTATTAATTACTGATGAATAATTCTTATTTGCAGTGCCTATCTGAGAG